CGTGTGCGTGTGCGTGTGCGTGTATGTACATTTCCATTATGTATATATTTGTAGAATAATATTCTAGCCGTGGAGGCACGCTATAGTCATCATCCAGCCTCCTATGAGGATGACACCGCCACACTACTAGGAGCGGACGTCCTCGCGTGAACCCTATAATTAAACATTCATTCGCTCACTCACCGCGACATCGCTCTCCGTATTAGCAAATAAATCCACTAATCATCAGTAGAATCGAGATTCTCCCTCCTCCCCTTCCTCCCCCTCCTCTCTCCTCCACGCTCATAGAAAGCTTACCACGGCGCGCCCGTCCCGCGGCGTTTCCCGCCGGAGATCACGCGGCTCCGCCATCTTGGCGAATCGTGCCGCCATTACCGACGGAGCGCGAGGGCAGGCGCGTATAGCCGACGGCGTCGGCGCGTCAGATCCGCCGACTCGCTCTCGGGGCTCTCGCCGTCTCTCGCGGCGGTTTTATTGAGAGCGGCATATAGCCGGCAGATGATTCTTGATTATGCGCGTATCGGCGCGATCGCCGAAACAAGCGAACGTCGTAAATTGTATATCGTAATAGCGTTTAAGCCGCGCGGCCGTCGAGCGCGCGCGCATAAAAACAAAGCCGGTCCCATAAAATTACCTGTATTAACATTCAGATATTCGGCCGTGATACGGCCTTCCGCCTAGCAGCGCAGCGGAGACGGTGGAGGCGGAGACGGGAGCCGTTTGAGATGAAAGTCTGCGGATGCGGCTGCGGCGATCCCATTTAGATAATGGCGGCAGATTTCGGGCTGCTCGGCAAAGAGTTGAAAATGATAGATTTGGCCGGCCGCGTGTGCGCGCGACGCGAGGAGAAGATAAGCACATGTCACAGAGTCGCCATCATGGAGCTGTGCGCGTGTGCGCGTGTGTGTGTGTGTGTGCGTGTGTGCGTGTGTGTGTGTGTGTGTGCGTGCGCGCGTACGTGCGCGCGTACGTATGTGTACTTGAAAGAGAAAGGAAGAGATTGGGGCAAGGGGGAAAGAGGAAAAGAAAGAAAGTGAGAGAGGGAGATACAAAGAGAAATTGGTAGTGAAACGGAGAGCGAGAGAGAGAGAGAGAGAGAGAGAGAGAGAGAGAGAGAAAAAGAAGAAAAAGAAACGAGAAGGAGAGAACGAGAGAGAAAGAGAGTGGGAAGGATAGAGGGGGGGAAGGAGAGGAGAGCGGGATAAAACGGCGTCTGTAACTGTCGATAAATCACAATACGCGCAGGCGAAATTATTACGTCTAGTTTAGGAACTCGTTTATGGCCCCTCGTTCACATCTAACGCTAATACTTATTTAGATAGATGGTTTACGCTATAAAATCGAAAGGACTGCAATCTGCATATTTCGGTCTGTCTGAGTGTGATTACATCGCATCGCAACATTTAATAAAGATATAGAGGACCGCATATTTGCAGCGCTACTGCGAGCGTTTTACGGTCCGCGCCACGCCATTTCGCCCGTAACTTCATGAATC